ACTCCTGTTGCTAAATCTTCTAACACGTGGTCTAGCCAGCATCCATGTTTTGTGAGTCCTTGATTCTAAAAAAGCGATTAAAATCTGCTTGTTCGTGTGTAGTCAATCGTTAGCGCCTAAACCGTACTGCCGATTTTTTTCAAAATTGATATTTCTGTTCTGCCGAGACAAAAAAGTGTTATTTTCAAAACGTCCGTTTGTATGTATGTCTGTGAACAACACTAGCTTCTAAACTATTCATAGGACTGTTTTCCAAAATGGAAATTTCCCGGTCGATTAGGCTCGACTCAAACCTTCCAGTTTTCGCGCAGTGGTGTGAAATATATGTGTAAAATATCAAAAACAATTTCTGTAAAACGGTTCCCATTTTTTAATTTCTCTCTCTTTTTTCGAAACAAGAGAAAGTTATGGAATCCAGAACTGCGCCAGAAAATGGCGACTTTTCGGCGGAAAAACGTTTATTGCCGGGGCCTGGTAACGAAAACCTGAATAAATCATGTTGCTATAAGCAAATTACTTCCTCTAGAACATGGCGTAGACAGAATCCATGTTTTTTGCGTCCTCGACAGCGAAAAATCAATAGACGGCTAAACGCCTCTCTGTCCATTTGTAGTCAACGCTGGTACCTAAACCGTTCAGCCGATTTTTCCAAAATTGATATTCGCCGATTATTTTGAACGAACTCAAGGCTTTGGGAGTTTCAAACGGTAATTTGGTTTTGAGTGTGTTTTCGCGAAGCCTCAAATACATTCTCAGCTAGTTGTGCTACAGAATGGCGCAGACTTTCCCATATTATTTTTCTTGTTCTTTTGGTCTCACCTAGCTATACGAACTTGCCACATACTCTTGCCTGCTGCCATCCATCGCCGCCCAGAGTAAATTTTTTAAATTATCATAATTTTTCAGTTTCCTAATAATAAATTGGAAATATTATTTTACGCACATTAAAGAACAGTAAAATCTCGTCCTAAATTGAAATTTGTATCCATGTTTAAGAAAATCGCGCTTTAGCGCTACTGTAAATTCAAAATTTGAAGCTCTTTTTCACAGAACATTTTTGAGTTTTCAAAAAACTTAACTTGAAGCACATTAACACATACAATATTGTTTACATACTGCTGGAAATGTGCATATTAACGACGTGAAAGATCTTTCAAAAAAATTAAATTTCTGTAATGATTGAAAAAACAAAAGATTGGAGCAATATGGTTGCCATCTTTTAGAGTTGATGCCATCTTATGGAGTACATTTAGCATAATCCCTACCAAAAGTTTAAAGAAAAATATAGAGGCGTTTTTGAGAAAATCTTGATTTTAAATTTTTTTGAAACTGCACATATTACACGCAACCTACTAACATTTTCAAAACAATGGTACACGACCTTAATAAAAGAACTCACTATGCAGAACAAATTTTATTTGAAGACAAATCTCTCTCTTCAAGTTTGTAGTTTTAGGAAGACGCTCGAAACATTTTGAAATTTTCAAAAATTCAGTTAAACCTGAAAGTTGGATTTATGCCACTTTCATAAGTGTATTTTACTCTATTCTTACAAGCAATTTAAATAAAAAATTTGAAGCCGTTTTTGAGAAAATGTCCGAGGAGCATCATTGAAGTTCCCAAATGTAAAAATAAATAAATAAATAAATTCAAAATATCGACTCAAGTCTGATGGACAGGAGTTTTTTGTGTATCTTGTCACATCTACAATATTGAAGATAGAGATTTTTGTCTTAATTTAAGCTGTTCTTTTAAGACATGTTGAAATAAGGTCATGTTCAATTTTTCTAATATCAATGCTTTTCCTGTAATTTTTACGCGAAATTGGCCTACAGGCAATTGAATTATTTTTAAAACAATTTTTTCTCAAAAACCCTTCAGTTTTTTTCTTTAAATTTTCTCCTCGTAAGTATGAAGGGAAATTTTAAAAAAATTGTGTAAGTTCCATTTGCGGCGAACTCTCGTTTTTTTTCGAAAATTGCAAAAAGTTAACATTTCAAAACTTCAAAATTGAAGAAAGAGATTTTTGCCTTCAACAAAGCGTGTTGTAAAATAAGAGTTCTTTACAGTCATTCATGTACAATTTAAAAAATTACCAATTTTTGCGATATTTGTGTTTGAAATGTATGAATTTTCTAAAGAAATAATAATCTCAAAAATCACTTCAAATTTTTCCTTAATTTTTTTTACGATGGGAGGCAGCTTAACATAATACTGCAGTTCTCATTTTCGTCGAACACTCTAAATTTTCGAAAATTCAAATTTATAAAGTGCGAGAGACTATGTGCTGTTAAGCACCACTAGTTTCTGTAAGCTTTTGGTAGATACAGTGTTAAATGCGCTGTATAAGATGACATAAACCTCATTGTGATGCATTTTTATAAAATTACATGAATGTATTTTTTCACATCTCATTCACATTCTTAATATTTACATTTCCGGCAAATTGTATACATTATTGCATTTATGAGTAATGTACTTCAAATAGTGTCTGATAATATTTATGGAAAACTCAAAAGTTATCTGTGAAAATGAGTTCGAAATTTTGCATTTTCGGAAATGCTGAAACGCCTATTTTCTCAGAAATGGTTATAAATTGTTTTTGTATTTTTTTTAATGGATAGTGCGAAATGGACTGAATAAAACGACGTAAATACTACATTGATGTTTTATTTTGGTTAAAAAAACAACACAAAAATGTATTTTTTTTAATATCACTCGCGAAATTAATATGTATGTTACCAGCGATGTGTAAACTTTATTGCATTTGTGAGTGGAACTTCAATGAAGTTTTTCCAAAACTAAAAAGTTTATGGGAAAAAGAGTTTCAAATTTCGCATTTACAGAAACGCTTAAAACACTTTTTTCAAAAAAGCTTCAAATTATTTGAACAAAATTGCGATTTAAAACAAGGTTTTACTCTTCAGTAATATTCTTAAAGTCATGTCAATTCCACCATTTGGGAAACAAAAAATTAAGGAAATGTGAAAATATGTACTACTATGGGCGGCGATAGATGGTAGTTGGGAAGATGGTGAGGCAAAACTGAAAAGTTAGCCCGGACCAAGGAAATGGGAAAACTATCTATAAGTATTACGCGAAAGTCTGTGCCATTCTGTAGCATCACTGGTTTTCTCAGCACTATTATTCAAACTCAGATCCTTACTGTTAACACGCCAGTCACGTTACTATTTCACCACCAGCATGCATTTTTTCGTTACCAGGGCCTGACAATAAGGGTTTTTCTGTCGCAAATTCGTCGGTTTCTTCCGCAGTATTATAATACTTTCTGTTTACTAAGTAAATATACTAGCAAGGTGAGAAAGTAAGGCATGACACAGTGGAAGTTGTAAGTACAAACCTGATATTCACATTCTAAGGCCAACTACGATATTACCGGCACATCACCCGCTTCAAATACAGAAGATATGTAGATAATTGGGATTGCGTACTCAGCTTCTACTAGACTTACCTACCACTCGAACTTACCATTTTGAAGGTCACAATGGAATAGACCTAATACATACACCCACTCAGTCACTAACAAGACCCCTGCTGACGCAGCAGGACTCGTTCGGATGACCTGTTCCAGACACTGCCAGTTCATTTCGAAGACGCCTATGAGTGTTCAATGCAGTGGAGACAGCTTATCGAAAAACGACACCCTCCCTCGAAAATCAAGCACGGGAAATTTGCAGATCAAATTATTACTGGGTGCGAATTGCCAGTTTTCATAAGAGAGTAGGTAATTTAAAACTTCAGGAGAGGACAAATGGAAGAATTGATGCGTGAAACGGAAAACATCTTGGGTTAGGTAATACAGTGTTAATACAAACAACTAAAACCCTTTCGGGGATGTTGTCTAATACAATTTCCTTCATTTGGATTATTTGAAGTAAATATTTCAGAATGTGAAAACCATAAATTGTGTCTAATATGGATGACTTGGGGCCCTGGCAAGGAGAAATTACTTCTTTTCCAGCAGGGGACACGAAACACCAGCTGGGAGGGACCCGGCCCCTGCCAGTCCATGCGCACCCTGCATTGTACTTGCACTAATTGCACTCGGTTCATTTGTTCTTGCAATAAGTTTCGAGGAGGATAGATTTTCATGCTTGTCGCATGCTCGGCATCGGATGCATGTGGAAGAGTAAAGGTATTGGGAGTTGAATGGGCCGGTTTCTTATGGCAAAGTCTGCCGATTAATTAAACCTAGAGCATCGATCCTCATCAGATTTGATATTACAGTTCCGATTGCTGCAAATATTTTTACCAACTTTCTATTTTTGTGTGAACAGTTATTGTTTCTGTAATTAATTTTTAATTTCATTTATTTATTATTTATTTTATTTTTTGTCGTTTTTATCAGGTATTTTTTTGTGTATTCCTTTTTGCTCCCATACTTCGTTATTTCTCATTTTTCCGTCTCCATGTTTTAGACCCACAAAAAATAGGAAAAGTATTTCTCGAAAGTTAACTTCCGGTATGTTGTAATAAACGGCATAACTGTGATTGTTGTAGTTGAGTATTTCCTAACTCACATGATTGTTTCTTTCGTTATTAACGTGAAAGTTGATTTGGAAAAGGAGTTTAATTAGTTCTTCCTCGTTCAAGAAATATTCTGAAGAGACAAACTAAGTGTGATTGTTCAAATCTACAAGCCCTTCTTAATTTGCAACACACCTGCCGCCGCTGGTCGGATTGGCGACTACTTCTCCACTGCCTGGGGAAGAAACACAGGGGCGCGCAGAGAAAACTAGGCTCCTGTGGCAGTAGATCCATGGGGGTTCCTTACTTCCAAAAATGTTGCCCTTCATTATTGTCATTAATTATTAATATATTTTAAACTGAATCATATTTCAACTACAGTTAAATATATATATATGTATATATATATATGT